TAATGTGTTTAACCACCTGGAAATGTCTGTTTTGCCAAAAGGGGTCAATGCTTAAGTCTTTTTCTATCAAAGAAATTCACTGGGGTTAAAAATCAGAAGACTACCCTTACAGTCACGCAGACTTAGGTCCAAATCCCTGCTCCGTCACTCAGTGGCTGTGTAACTGCAGGTGTGTTAGTCTCTGCATCTTCCTGTCTCAGCAGGTTCTGTGTGAGGGCGATAGACAACGTAGATAAAGTGCCTGGCACACTCTAAGTGCTCAGTCAAGGCTAGCTGGAAATAATAAGGACGTTAGAATCCGCTTCTGTTTCTATGACAATTTGTCCGGATTCTTTGTACACCAAGGAGAGCATGGTTTTGTTCCTACATCCTCTTTGCTTCCGTCTAATGAGAACCTTATCTTTTCTTTATTTGCTGAATATCAGGCTGCTTAGAGGGGCCTGAGATGGAGGGAGTCTGGGATAGAAAGCAGGTTGAGCATACATTGTTCTCACATCACTGCTTTATATAGCTAAGTATAAATGAGCTTTGGGTGATCAATTGTTCTCTCTCTCTGTAGTATGATGAACAGAATTTGAGCTCTGCAGGTCAAGTGACTTCTCCAAGGGAGGAGCACTTAGATCCTCTGCCTTCCGACGCTCACATGCATTTATTTAGGGAGCACCCCTGCCTTTCCTTTCATTCCATGTGCCCCTGTAAAGACCTGTATCAGTGGTTCTCCATCTTAGTGGATGGCCCCACCATTCATCCAGGTTTGCAAGTCGGTTACTTAGGAGTCATATCTGACATCTCATTTCTGTGTCTCTTTCCCTGTCACCAAGTGTTATGAGTTTTATCTTCAAAAACTTCTCTCAGATCTGCCCATGGCTCTTCATCTGTGTTACCATCCCTCTTGTCCATGTTATCCTCATTTCTTCTGGATTTCTACCACGAACTTCTATCACACATGGGTGCACTCACTCTGTCCCCTCACTACTAGTGAGTGCACCCATATTCTCCCAGCACAGAAACCCTGTGGCTCCCACTGCCTGTAAGATGAAGATAAAACTGACATTACTTACGGTGTTGTGCCTGGTCTGATCTCATTTCTCAGTGGTGGCCCTCGGGGCCTGCGTTTAGTTCTTGGGATTTGCCACTGTCCTTCCAACACTGGACACTTGCCTATGCTCTTCTCTTCCTCCTTTGGCCTAATTAACATTATTAATCTCTGGCTATCTCAGTTCAATGGTTACTTTTTAGGAATCTTTCTTTGACCTCCCCAATTAGGCAAATAATGAAATAGTAAAGCCTATGTTGTAGTTATCAGTACCAGCCCTCTTTAGATGAACAAACTCAATACATTTTCATAACAACCCTATGTGCAGACTCTACCATTACTCCTCTCTTATGGATAAGCACACAGAAACATAAGGCAGTAAGTACCCGGACTTGCCCCAGATCATCTACCTAGTAAGCGGTAGTGTTAGAGACCAAAGCTAGGCCAGCTGGCTGCAGAGTCCGTGCCTGGGCCATGAGCCCCTCAGCACTCTACAGGGCAGGGCTCCCTCCACTAAAGAAATACAGGTCTTTGATGAAGTAGCTTTCCAAAGGTGACAGAGTTGAACATATTGCAAAAGTGGTATTTGAACCTTCGTCTCTGATTCTAAAGTCCATGTTCTTTCCATTACATCAAATCACTCTTCATATGTCTAGTACATTCTATGGTGATGCAGTATAGTTACATATATGATTTTTTTCTTCTCCTACTAGCTTGTGAGCTTACTGGGGACAAGGTCTGTATTACTCATTGCTATCCCCCATGGTCAGCACATTAACTGGCACCTCGTAGATATAAGCTTGTTGACTAAAGACCCTCTTGAATGGGATAGAAGTTTTCTTAATAAGAATCTGAAGTCCTGTCCTAACTGGTTTGGCTCAGTGGATGGAGCGTTGGCCTGTGGACTGAAAGGTCCCAGGTTCATTTCTGGACAAGGGCATGTACCTTGGTTGCGGGCACATCCACAGTAGGAAGTGTGCAGGAGGCAGCTGATTGATGTTTCTCTCCCATCGATGTTTCTAACTCTCCCTCTCTCTTCCTCTTGGTTAAAAAAGAAAAAAAGAATCTGAAGTCCTTTTTCATTCTGTTACCCACTCGAGTGCTTGTATTTCCCTATGAGAAACAACACGAGGGGAGAGTTGCTGGCCCATGTCTCCATCTTTGTAATAATCACCCTGATGGCTGCGGGGAATACAATGAGAGAAGAGAAACGCATGGTCCATGCTGAGCTTCCTCCAAACGTCCTGCTCACACTTAGGCCCAGCTTCCCTGAGCCCGCATGTCCTCGATTCCAGGCCCCACACTCTGGAAGCATCTGCAGGGCTGACAGCTGCAGGACCAGAGCACTGGTTTATTGGAAGGCTGCGGATCACAGGCACCTGATGGGATCTGAGAATTATGCACACACATATCTGCACAGAAGCTGGGCCGCTGCAAGCAGAGATGATGGTTGTACACTCAATTAAAATGCATGCTGCATAAAAACAACATTTCCCCACAGGGCTAGCTAACTGTAAGTTTTAATTATACAGTAATAAAAAAAAAATGGAGAAACAGCAGCAAATGACAATCTATTTCTGTGAACGATCTTAGTCCAATAGCTTAAATCTACAAATCACATAAAGCATATATTTCAATGTACATCACAGAGTGTTTGTACTAGCACTGGCTGTACGTAAGGCATCAGCACTTCTTGTTTACGGTCAGATAGCGTGGCTACTGACTTGGGGATGGAGTAGGGGAACCCAGGCTGGGGCCTGAATGGAATTGGCACATGTGAGAGGGGCTGGCATGAGAAACCCCAATCCCTTGGACAAGGAAAAGGGGTCTGAGTAGTTTGCAGGGCTGGTGGAAGGTCTTCCTTGGCCCCTTGCAGCTCTGGGATCAAGCAAGAGCGGGGAACTCTGCACGCCTGGCCAGGTGTGGAGAGGAGAGGGCACTAGCCACCTCGAGGCAGGGCACAGCAGTGCACTGACCTTCTCAGAGCACAACCGGTTGGTGTTAAAGGCTCCAGACTGCAAGGAGGGCAGAGCTGTCTGAAGCACCCTACTTCCCTGTGCTATTATCCATTCTGAGAAGCTGTGGTGGTCAAATCAGGTTTAATGGAGCCTGAAGCCTATAGATTTTTGGGAGCCCTCTTAAAGAAAAGGAGTACAAAAATAGCTTCTTCTGGCAAATTTTACGAAAATGCATGACAACGGGAACACCTTGCTTGTTTTTCACTTTTACTTAAGTTTAATTAGCTTCTCATAAATTCACCTTTATCTATGACTCTTGGGGTCTGCACACTTGCAAGATGTGTAGTGACTAGGCGGTTTTTATGAGCCTCTCGCAGTCAGTAAATCCTCATGCAGGCAGACAGGTAGAGCAGCATCCAGAGCTTGTCACTCACTGAGTTGTGCACATTTGGTCAGCATTTACACAAACCAGCAGCCATTTATTGTTCCCCTCATGCCAGGTACTGTTAACACTCTTAAGTTTTTTCTTGCTTTCTGTTCTAGGGCAGCTTGACATAGCCTCTCATTTTGTCCCTTCCCAACACAATGTTAACCTCAGCCAGCCTCTTTGAATGACAGTGTGTGTGTGTGTGTGTGTGTGTGTGTGTGTGTGTGTGTATAGGGGTGGTAGGAGGGAACGCTTCCTTAAGAAAGGCCTATGAATTTGCTATTGCAAACTTTGTCATGAGCTGGGGGATGCTTGTATCTTTTCCTTGTGGCATCCTGTGACAGGGCCCATGGCGGCACCAGAAAGTTCTTGGCTTTCTTGGACATCCTGGCACCTGCACCTTCGCGCACAACCAACATCAGTGGCTACACACACCCAGGATTAGACAGATCCTAACTAGGTTGGCTCATAAGAACCCTCTGTGGCTCTTAATCAAAATGCAGATTTCTGGAGCTTCTGACTTCCCACTCCAGACTTCCAGAAACGAGGGCTCCAAGGATGGGCCTGTGGGTTTGCATTTAAAAAAAAAAATATTTTATTGATTTTTCACAGAGAGGAAGGTAGAGGGATAGAGAGCTAGAAACATCGATGAGAGAGAAACATTGACCAGCTGCCTCCTGCACCCCCCCCACCGGGGATGTGCCCGCAGCCAAGGTACATGCCTTTGACCGGAATTGAACCTGGGACCCTTCAGTCCACAGACCGACGCTCTATCCACTGAGCCAAACTGGTTTTGGCGGGTTTGCATTTTTTGATAAATACTTTAGGTATTTCTTCAAGTCAAGTAAGCTTGGGTGTCACGGAACCCAAGGACAGGGGAAGCACATTCTAAGGTAATAAGGGGTGTGAGTGCTCCCTGGGTGAACAGATTGAAAGGTCAGAAGAGGCAGAGGGCATAATACTCCTGTGCTGAGTGGTAGGAGAAGACAAGCAGGCATCATTGTGCCTTTACTGCGTGCCCATCACTGTACGAGAAATTATGAATATATATATATTTTTGATGTTCACCACAGGTCTTTGAGGCAGAAACATGTTTACCTTTCTTGTACAGATGGGAACAGTCTCAGATGTTTAATAACTTGCCTGAGCCATGTAGCTAGTCAAGTGTGGAACCTGGATTGGAACTCAGGCTTCAGGATATCAGAGCCTGCATTCTTTCCAAAGATGGAAACATTGCCTCGTTCTGGAGACGCTGTGGCTAACATCAGGGTTTTTAGTAGGATCCAGAACACTCTTCCAACTGCCATGGAAGCCACCTGTAAAGGCACTGCTGAGGCAGTTTAACGGCCAGGGCACTGGGGCTGCTGTGGTGGTTGAAGGCAGTGATGAGGGGGCTCATGAGCAGTCTGCTGCACTGATACCCGTAGCCTCTTAAGAGAGGGCATGGCCCTGGTTGAGAGAGACACCTGTGGACAGGGACAGGTAGGGTGGTGTGTGCTGACCATCTGGTGGGGAGCATGGCTGGCTAATGGTGTGGTTCACTGTTCAGGAATGTGGGGTTGAGAGTCAGATAGCCGAGGTCTAACCCAGTGACTGATTTGACCTCTTGTTTGGCTCCTTTTTTATTGATGTTGCAACAGACTACTGTAAACCTAGCAGTTTAGGATAACACCCATTAACTCTCTCCCAGTGCTGTAGATCAGAAGTTTAGGTGAAGCACAGCTCAGAAGCATCCTCTACTCAGGAGCTCCCAAGACTGAAATGAAGAAGTTGGCAAGGTTGGGCTCTTCTCCAGAAGTTGTGGGGAAGATGCCACATCCACACTCATTCAGGTTCTTAGCTGCCATTGTACAGGACTGAGGTTGTTATTGAATTAACATATGGCCCTCTTTATCTTCAAATAAAAATGGTACATTATGTTTTTCTCATCCTTTGAATTTTTGACTTCTTTTTCTGCTCCCGGACAGAGAAAGATTTCTGCTTTTTAAAAAAATATATTTTATTGGTTTTTTTACAGAGAGGAATAGAGAGTTAGAAACATCGATGAGAGAGAATCATCAATCAGCTGCCTCTTGCACACCCCCCACTGGGGATATACCCACAACCAAGATACATGCCCTTGACTGGAATCGAACCTGGGACCTTTCAGTCCCCAGGCCGATACTCTATCCACTGAGCCAAACCGGTTTTGACATATTTTTGCTTTTAAGGGCTCAGTAATTAGATTAATTTTTACCAGATAATCCAGAAAAATCTCCCTAGTTTTAAGCCAACTAGTTTGTAACCTTAAGCACATCTGCCATACAATTCTTAAATAATAAAGTTAACATATTTACAGGAGTGACACCAGGGAGTGAAGGCCATGGGTTAATGTTCTGCCTATGACAGTGACCTTGGGCAGGATCTCTCAGAGTTCGTGGCCTATGTGTGATACTTTTAGAAACTAAGATTTTTATTTTATTTTGCTCTAATAGAAGTTATATATTAATCTGAAATTCCATGCTTCATTCAAAGGTGGCATATATTTTTCCAAATGATGACTCAAGAGCTGAGAATGAGTTAAAATAGGTTCTTTTGGAAAATATGCTAAAATAATATCCAGAAATCAGCATGCATCATTTATTCGCTCCATCCTTCACCCGCCTTCCCGCCTCCTCACTCACCATGTGATTTGGAAGTTTTCTTTAAAATTCTTTTCATTAAATTCTGGCCCTAATGGGTACCATTAGGCCAGTGATAATGCCACATTACACTTTAGTGTTTTGGGTGTGTGTGTGTGTGTGTGTGTGTGTTTCTGGAAAAAGTATACCTCCAAGCAATGGTATTTAAAAGGAGTATTTGAACCAGTGTCTAATTTGAAGAAAATGAATAGCTTGAAAAATAACATGGATACCTTATAATTTTCTAGTCAAAAACTGTCAAACAGAAGTTCTCACATGCTGCAATTTTTTCCTAATAATTCACTCAAAAGTATTTCACTTCCCTGTGCCCTTTGAAAAAGCTTGCAAAGAGTCACACTTTCCTGTAAGTTATTGGAAATGCATGTGGTCTCTCATTCTGTGTACTCTCTGAAGAACACTTTGGCATTGAACAGTGATAATAAAGATGGAAAAATGAGAAACTAAATGTGATTTCGGTTTGTAAGCTTTAAATGCACCATAATTTAAAGTTGGCAACTTGCATACGCATGCTACTTCTTGGGAGCACAAAGAGACAAACAAGAACCTTATTTTTTCTCAGTACAAAACAATGGAAAAATATATATATATTTTAATGAGCTCAGACAGATATGAATGTTGAGAATGGTGCAGGCTGTATATTTTACTTGCATTGTTTTTTTTTTTCCCCACTTGCACAGAATAAATGATTTTGAATTAAATCTAATGGGTAAACCTTTTTAATCTTCAATTTTTTGTATTGGTTTCTGGTGTACCGCTTAGTGGTTAGACCAGTGGTCAGCAAACTGATTAGTCAACAGAGCCAAATATCAATGGCACAACGATTGAAATTTCTTTTGAGAGCCGAAAACCGACTTTTGCGCCTGGGCCACGAGGTTTCAATCACATTGTATGTGCGTGCCCGCATGTGGTATTTTGTGGAAGAGCCACACTCAAGGGGCCAAAGAGCTGCAGTTTGCCAACCACTGGGTTAGATAATTGTATGCTTTACATAGTGTTCCCCTCAATATTTCCAGCACCCCAACTGGCACCACACATAGTTATCGCAATGTTATTGGCTATATTCTCTGTGCTGTACTTTACGCCCCTGTGACTGTTTTGTAATTACCAATGTGTGCTTCTTAATCCCTTCAGCTCTTTATCCGGTCTCCTAGTCCCCCTCTCCTCTGGCAACCAGCAGTTTGCTGTCTGTGTCTATGAGTCTGTTTCCATTTTGTTTGTTCATTTATTTTGTTCTTTAGATTCCACAGATAAATCATATAGTGTTTGTCTTTCTCTGAAGGACTTATTTCACTGAGCGTAATGTCAACATTTATATGAATAATCGGTTGATTTGACAATTTTGCTCAGTAGGATAATCCATAGTGTTGCTGCCCAAGACCACTTGTGCCCAACAGTTCTGTGCAAGTCAGCAGGTAGTTGTAACAGACCTGTGTTCTGGTTTCACTTTTGCACAGTGATCCCACTTACACTGAGTGCTTTATCTTTATAATAATCAAAGTTATTCATATCCCTATGTGTTCATTTTAGAAAAAAAAACAAAAACCCAGGAAATACATATAAGCAAAAAGAAGAAAAATAATAATTCTACCTCAGGATGGCTGGAATTTTAATCTTTTCTTTAAATATATGTATATTATATACATTTCCATATTACTTCTACAGGTAAATTAAGCTATACACTGTGTATATCATATCATATCTATCTATCTATCTATCTATCTATCTATCATCTATCATCTATCTATTGTATATCTCTGTCTCCAGTTAGTAGCTGGTGTCTCTGCTCTGATATTTACTATGATCATGGATTATAATCACAATTCCAGATCCCTTGGTATTTCCAGGTTTTCCCTTGTGACCAGTTGAGTCAGGTACTCTAGCAGTCCTTGTGCTCCCTCAGCATTTCAGCATTTCCCAGAAGGCTGAGAGTGTGGCAAATGGGTCAGAGACTATAAGGGAGCTAAACTGTAATGATCAGCTCATGATCATATTTTTGGATTTCTCCCATCAGAGCTCGAGGGATCTGCCTGCTGCTACAACTGGATTCCATAGGGCTTAACTTAATTTCGTAAATCCTCAGAAGCTGATGAGAGTCGGTGATGGAAAAAATGGATTGCTATTTGTTGTCACTTAACCAAAAAACCAACCCAAGCTAGAATTGACAGCCCTGTTACTGCCCTCTACCTCTCTGCCCCTGGGAAAGGAGACATTGTACAAATATTTGTAGCTTTACGCAACCGAGGAAATCTACTCTGAAGTGATAAAACTTCAATGCTTACATCCTAGCATCTCCCCCAGGAAGGTTTTACCTTCCTTGAATAGCCCAAGCACGGTTTGAAAATAAATTTTAAAAAAAATCTTATACAACTTGAATAAAGAAATACCTTCCTCAAGTTTCTTTAAATATGTTTAAAGAGAATGAACATGAGTCATAACCATTTCACACAATAAATACACTGTAACATGAAAAGAGTGTTGCCCTTCAAAGGGTTTGCCATGAAATGATTTGTTTTTGTTGCTATAAGGCTATTTTTTTCTCAACAAATTTTGGAATTTATCATAGTTTCATAATCAGTTTATAAGATCCCATGACCTCACAGTTTCCCTACCTGGTATTTGAGGAAGTCTAAATACCGTATTTTTCGGACCATAAGATGCTCCGGACCATAAGACGCACCAGTTTTTAGAGAAGGGAAATGAAGAAAAAAAGATTCTGAAACAAATAGTGTCCTAAAATATTTTATGTGCATTAAAACCCAACATCAGTCATAAACACATGTAATCAACCCTGTAAAGTAAACAGCAGCATTTAGAACTATTTTAGAGCCGGGCAAGCACACAGAGACCACACAGAGCCGGGCAAGTAAAAAAACTTTTTTTTAAAAGTATATGTGTAGGCTATATTTGGACCATAAGACGCAGGGACTTTTCCCCCCCACTTCTGGGGGAAAAAAAGTGCGTCTTATGGTCCGAAAAATACGGTATATGATCCAACTTGAACACTTATTTCAGTTGGCTCCGAATAATGTTTATATCTTAAAAACAAGACAAAATTAGAACAATTCTTCCATGATGGTGATCTGCTACTATAAAGGCTGTTCAGAACAACGGGTACCAGGTCCTGAAAATCAATTCTGAACGAGAAACTCCAACACTGTTCTGAGCAAAGGCCCCATTGCCTGTGAGAACAGTGAAGGTACATTTCAAGCTGACTACTTTGAAAGGGAGGAAAAAAAAAAATCACTCAGACATTGAGTTCTGGCGTGTTGCTCAAATGAGGAGTTTCTGTCTACCTTGCATGTTGACCCAACATATAAGATTTCTGTATTATTTATAAGAGCTGTCATCCTTTCCACCTGCCAAGGCAACAATGAGATTTTTTTTTTTTTCCACTAGAAAATATATATGAGGAGCTACTCTTTTGGAACAATCATAGTTGAATAATTGAATAGCAGAGTGGTATTGGAGCAATATGATTTCTGCCTTTTAATCTGTTTTTTTTTCTTTGTAAATATTAAAAGATTATAAATGAGGTACACGTGGAGAACCAAAATTCAATCTATTTTTAATCCTTCCAGTCACTGTTGATATGCCTGTAGTCCCATAAGAGCAGGGAGAGAAACAAAGACTTGTAGAGAGGGAGTGGAGGGGCAATGGACAGAGTGGGGAATAAAGAGGTATTCCACGATCTTTTCCCATCCTGATTCCCAGACCGACTATGCATTTAAATTTAACCCCTTTGATACTTTAGTTAGGACGGAACACTGGCAAAGAACTGATGTTGGAAGTCTTTGATGGCAGTAGGAAGAATACATTATTCTGAGTAGGCACTCGATATTCTCATTTACTGGATACGTAAGTGGGCAGATGGAAGGGTATGTTAGTGGAGACAATTTATGTGCAATTTAGTAGCTACTTAAACAGAATAAAGAAGCTTGAGAGTTCCTGTGCATATTGCACTTTCTATACAGCTTAGTGCAGACAGGAGTAAGGAATGCTTGAAGAACACTAGAAAGGCATCTGATTATTTTCATTCTTTTTAAAAAAAATTTATTTATTTCAGAGAGGGAGGGAGGGAGGGAGAGAGAGAGAGAGAGAGAGAGAGAGAGAGAGAGAGAGAGAGAGAGAGAACGAACATCAATGATAAGGGAGAATCATTGATTGGCTGCTTCCTGCATGCCCCCTAGGGGGTTGAGCCTGCACCCCGGGCATGTGCCCTTGACCCGAATTGAACCAGGGATTCTTCATTTCTCAGGCTGATGCTCTATCTATTGAGCTAAACTGGCTAGACATTTGGTTATTTTCAAAGAAAAGAGGATATTCACTTAATACTTAGTTTTTATCACAATGCATAGTGATTATATTTGAAGAAGATAAAACTGCATTATTCATATTTTTAAGTTAAAAAAAGACCTCACTCAAATAGCTTAAAGGATGTAAATAATTAACTGATGAAAACACAATTTCCCCCTGAAACACAGTCTTGCACTACAATCCTAAAGAATAAGAGACACAGATTTGTAGAGTGATCTGTTTATTTCATACTGATCTTTTAGTTCACTGACCAGCTTACATTTGTCCTTGGAGAGGACAGAACACAACTTTCAAAACAAGCTCTATATATGTATGCATATTTAATATGTAGAATATGTAAAATAAAGTTCTTTCTCATTTACTTTATATTAACAAAATCTTTCTTTGCCCCCACAGGGGCCCATGTTGAGTTCCAAATACTACAAATGTGTTACTCTGCATAAAATGCTACCTTATATTGACCAAAAGCATCGTACTTTATAGGAATACTGAAATCAGGATTTTTTTTTACATCTAAGATTAGATCTTCATTTTCATTTCTGATGGTGTTTGTAATGAAAGAGCAAAAATTGCCATTTACTTGGCCTGTCTGTAAAGCACATCTCCTGTGTTCTAGATCTTGAATTGCTTTTTATCAGGAAGGCAGCCTCATTAAAAGGGAAATAGAAATATCCATTAACTGTGCATAAGAAAAGGGAAGGTATTACTGAGTGAGCCAGGGAAGATATATTTCTGAATTAAAAAATGAGCAGTCATTCCCTTTATATGACCTTAGTTTCTTAAAATACCGTATTTTTCGGACCATAAGACGCACTTTTTCCCCCCCAGAAGTGGGGGAAAAAAGTCCCTGCGTCTTATGGTCCAAATATAGCCTACACATATACTTTAAAAAAAAAGTTTTTTTACTTGTCCGGCTCTGTGTGGTCTCTGTGTGCTTGCCTGGCTCTAAAATGGTTCTAAATGCTGCTGTTTACTTTACAGGGTTGATTACATGTGTTTATGACTGTGATGTTGGATTTTAATGCACATAAAATATTTTAGGACACTTTGTTTCAGAATCTTTTTTTCTTCATTTCCCTTCTCTAAAAACTGGTGCGTCTTATGGTCCGAAAAATACGGTAATAAACATAGTGACGATTTGAAGAATACATATTGATAGAAATTCAGATTCAAAGAATTCAAAGAACACCTCTCCTCTCCTCTTCTCTTCTCTTCTCTTCTCTTCTCTTCTCTTCTCTTCTCTTCTCTTCTCTTCTCTTCTCTTCTCTTCTTCTCTCTTCTCTTCTTTTTTTTTTCTTCAGGTGTGTCTTTAAGTTGGATGTGTAAATACTGGAAATGACTGAGTGGGATATTTCAGTTCCAGATTTGAGTTTGAGAACTAAGGACCAGGGCAAGAAAATTAGGAAATAATCTAAAATCCTGCATATAACATGTATATAGATAATTATAATAAATGTAAACCAGATCAATTTGTGTTAAAAGACAAAATTTCAGATAGAAGAAAAAATGTTTTTCCTTCAATTTAGAAGAGAGATAACTACCGTATTTTTCGGACCATAAGACACACTTTTTCCTCCCCCAGAAGTGGGGGGAAAAAGTCCCTGTGTCTTATGGTCCAAATATAGCCTACACATATACTTTAAAAAAAAAGTTTTTTTACTTGCCCGGCTCTGTGTGGTCTCTGTGTGCTTGCCCGGCTCTAAAATGGTTCTAAATGCTGCTGTTTACTTTACAGGGTTGATTACATGTGTTTATGACTGTGATGTTGGATTTTAATGCACATAAAATATTTTAGGACACTATTTGT